TATATAAAACATAATATTGATAAGATCACAGTTATTGTTGTATAACAAATATAAACTCGTAACAAATTTATCTGTAATTTCTCTTTTTTACGATACAACGTTTCAATTTAAGTACAAGTATCGACAAGAGCCTTTTCATTAGTATGATCATAAAGTCCAATGTATAAGTAAAGAAGATAAGATCTTGAAATAAATTGATGCGAGAGTCACTGATCTTCGGGTAATTGTATTTTCTTTTCAATCCCAGAAAAATGCCATTTAGAAAACGTTATCACGGCTCCTTTGTAGCGTCGAAAAGTTTAATTCCAAATTGTTAATGTTCATTGAACAAAATAAATTGGGCGAAGTTTCGCCTAAAGATAAAAGAGCTTCACTTCTGAAGTAAAATCTAATACAAATACATACAAGCTCGTACGTTGTCTACTCGGTCGTGTAAAATTGTATTGTGTGGCTGTGTCAAATGTCGGTCATGGCTTTTGTCGCAGTCGTGCTGCCACTATTGAAATATTTTATTTACAGGTGAGTTTATTGGCTATAGTCTCTGTATTCATTTAAATTTTCAGTTCCAGACACAAACATATGAGTAACTAGTTTAAACATATTGTTTAAAGGTATATCCTTTATAATGTTGTCATACCTATCGTTGATAATTTTTATATCCTATTTTAAATATAGTCATGAATCAGTCAAGAATTTTTTACAGTAGTGTCACCACAGGTAAACTCCTTTCCTTTTATTCTTTGATAAATGTTACTTTCGTTAGCATAACTAGTCATCATCCTTGAAATCCTCGAAAATGTTCCCGAAATGGAAAAATATTTACTCTAATAAAATATCTTACTTTATCATAGTGATTCAAAGTTTATATAATTTTTACTTAACTTACTTGACTCTTTGCTTTGCTTTTCTTGCAGTGTGGTTTTTTTCTTTTAGTAAAAAAGACAATGGCCGCACTAGGAATATTTCCTGTGTGACTGTGTGGGACTTTACACACATACATGAAACGGATAAAAGAATACCCAGACTCAGAGCAACAACTTGTGGATCACACCAAAGTGTTCTCTCATGTGCGGATCGTACCCACAACTCTCATCGCGGTAGGAAACGCTAAGGTGACCGCTGAAACCACTACACTACACCATCCCTGTAGTTCTTTGTGTGATTATAAACTATCATTTCATAGAGTATGCATCGTCCTGTATACTAAGCCTATAGAGTCGGATCAGCAAACTGTAGATGCTGATATATTAAGCTATTGCTTATAGTGTTAACTAGTTTAATCTTCATATAGCCAAATATTTTTGTGATTCAGAGATAGTCATTCTGAATCTAGGTGTGTTCTCCATTATACAGGTTCCCAGAATACCAGGATAACTCAGTCTGGGAACCTGTGTCATGTGTGGAATTATCTTAACTCACCACTGTACAACGAATTATGTATATTACTAAATATTATTGTTATTACAACGTGTATTCTGTGTTGTGTGTGTGTGTATTCTTTTTAATGTTGTAATTCTACGTATCTAGCAATTTAATTGCAACATATGGGTAGAAATCATTAAACTTAAAATGAATATATACGAATGGCACAAGTACAACAAGTAAAATTAAAGATAATATTGATTTTGTAAATAACTTTTCCTATCAATAAGAACAAACATGTCAGCAACATCTGTTTTCACAAATCAAAATATAATGCAGAGGGGTTTAACCGCCAAGAAAATAACTCCAGCCCTGCGGCAAATAAAATCTGCAGACATTAGACTCTAACAGACAGAAAATTAATGTGTACTTTCTCTTTGCTACTAAAACTAGGAAATAGTAGTTTCCCTCGTAACTCGAGAATGATTGAAAATTTCGCTGCTACTTAGCTATAGAAATTCTGCTCATGTGCATGTGAACAACTGTGAACCGCAGTGAGTTTCTAATTTACATAACATTTTATGTTCAACACCTAACTTTTAATTGTAGTTTTGAACTTTTAAAAAATTATGTGTAATAATGTTCCGTACATTGATATTAGGTATTGGTATAAATTTGATATTAGAATAAAATCTGTGTGCGGCAGAAATTTTGTAGTAAAATGCCAATTGCCAATACTGATGATTCCTGACAATATATTTGCTTTAAAACTCCATAGCAAGTTCCTGATTAGTTTTTTTTTTGATTTTACTTTTGCTAGTATATTATAATGATTTTTGTATATTTCACTATAGTTAAAAGCTACATAACGTCTGTGTTAAACTTGCCCATGGTTTATTTTCATTAAGTATTAAGATTTATCTATATATTAATATGCGAAGGTAATTTTTTGTACCTTTTTAAGTCAATGTGGCGCATAGAAGCATATAATACTATGAATACTTAATATTGATACGAAGAAGTGCACTAAGGTGACATTTTAATCAATATTTACTAAAACATTAAAAAATTATAAAATCGGCTAGATAATACTTTTTGTTTTTTTTTAAAAAAAGACAACACCCGCATTAGTTATATATCCTGTGTCGCGGGGGACTTTACAAACATACACGGAACGGACACAAAGAACACCCAGACTCAGAACAACTATTTGTGGATCACACAAAGTGTCGTCCCATGTGGGGTTTGAACCCACAACACTCGGCGTAGTAGAAAGCGGCGTGGTGACCGCTTAAACCACTACGCAATCCGTGCAGTCAATCATAAACTTAAATTCACCAGCTTTATTATGTATTTTATAATTTTTGTTTGGCATTTCTCGTTAGAATTTAATTTAAATATAAGTATATATATTTTTGTAAGACATTATAAATATTTGAAAAACATTTACATTTGGTGTCAAAAGCCACCATATATTTTTTTTGTGATTTTTACATACTACAAACCTCACACTTAAGACAAATCAAACGACACCTCAAACGCCAAAATCTATTAGGCTGCTCTGTAGCAGGCCAAAAAAATATGCATGTAAACACTCGATATCCCACCTGGCGCAGTCAGGTAAAAACCAGCAAACATTCTTCGCAATGGGCAATTTATACATTGCACCGACTCCAAATAAAATTAGGAATAGGCCAGGAAGATCATAATCAGTTTAGCACTACCTAACCAATATATAAAATGCTCTCAGAAAAAAGCCTTATCACAGATGTCAAGACTTCAAGCGTCGTTAAAATATAAGCATTCATAAAAACTACCTCGAGGCTAAGTCTACGGAATAACAATGCGAATATATAAATTTTGAGCAGGCACACACTTCCAGTTTATATAACCAAGTAAGTACGTAGGTACACAGAATATCGCTATGTGTCACTGAAAAATTCTTACCGTTTACGTTTTAAAACTGGCGTTTATCCGCGAGACGCCTCCCACGGGGCAGTTCATACAATATTCATACGCTCCTATATAAAGCTGATTGCAGACTTAAACACCTCTTCAGTATCAAAACGAGGTTTTGTGAAGCGTTCAGGGACTATGTGGAAATAGCGCTTGAATCACTTATAAACGTGGGAACAAGAATTTAAAAAAAAAAGTTTTGATTAAATGTTTCGTGTTTATTTTAATACCTAGTGATATTGTATTTTTTTAAATGACGTGATTTGTTGTCAAAATGGAACGGTATTGATGGGACTTTTGTCCGTCCGCGTTATCCTCTTGAATTAAATGGAAATTGAAGGAGATCAAAACTCAGCAAAGTCTTGAATTGAAATCATAGATTATATAAATGTTATGATAATATAGAAATGTTAGAAATATAAGACAACGTCGTCGTCAGCCTTTAATAGTGCATTGCTGGACACAGGTCTCTCCTTAGAAAAGAGGCTTTGGCCTACTAAACCACGCTGGCCAGACGGGTTGGTGTAGGGTAGGATTTCCTTTTGCTGGACGAGGCGGGTAAACTTTTTGAGAGGGTGCTCTCTGCCCGCATCGTCCGGCACCTTTGCGAGGTTGGCCCCGATCTGTCGGACGCCCAATTCGGTTTCCGAGAGGGGCGTTCGACGATCGATGCCGTAATGCGCCTTAGGGCCGTGACCGAGGAGGCCGTAAGCTGCGGCGGAGTGGTGTTGGCGGTGTCCTTGGACATCGCCAACGCCTTCAATAGTCTGCCATTCAGCTGCGTCAGGGAAGCGCTCCGCTACCACGGAGTGCCGGAGTACCTGAGGCGGCTGGTGGCAGACTATCTTGAGGAGCGAACCGTCATGTACGAGGACCGAGATGGCGTCTTGAGACGCAGGGCCATGTCGTGCGGTGTTCCGCAGGGGTCTGTCCTAGGACCTCTCCTGTGGAACATCGGGTACGACTGGGCCCTACGAGGGCGTCTCCCCCCCGGGCTGGGTGTAATCTGCTACGCGGATGACACCTTGCTCACGGCCCGGGGGGCTAACTTCCAGGAGGCGGCGCGCCTGGCCGCCACGGGAGTTTCCCTGGTGGTCGGGCGCATTGAGACGTTGGGCTTGCGGGTGGCCCTGGATAAGACGGAGGCCCTATTATTTCATGGGCCCCGTCGTGGTCCACCCGCCGGCGCCTCAATCGAGGTCGGCTCGGTCCTCGTACCGGTCCGGGCCCAGATGAGGTACCTGGGTCTGGTCCTAGACGGTAGGTGGCTCTTCGACGAGCACTTCCGACAGCTTGGTCCGAAGCTGGTGGACACTGCCTCCGCCCTAGGGCGACTTTTGCCCAATTTGGGCGGGGCCAGTGTTCCCACGAGGCGGCTGTACGCGGGGGTTGTCCGGTCCATGGCGCTTTATGGTGCACCGGTGTGGGTGGCGGCTCTGACCGCCCCGAATAGGGCGCGCCTCTGGCGCCCCCAGAGGATATTGGCGGTCAGAGCCATACGCGGATACCGCACGGTGTCCACCGAGGCGGCTTGCGCCTTGGCCGGAACACCCCCGTGGGATTTGGAGGCGGAAGTGCTCGCCGAAGTTTATCGGCGAGTGGCTGACTTCCGGGCGGAGAGCGGATTTCGCCCTCCGCCCGAAGACGTGCGCGAGTGGCGTGAAGCCGCTCGCCGAGCCACCATGGTGAGATGGTCGTTCCGGCTGGAGACTCCACGCGCTGGCTTCGCCGCCGTGGAGGCTCTCCAGCCGGTCATCGCCGAGTGGGCAGGGCGGCAGCACGGGACCCTTTCCTTCCGGCTGACGCAGGTGCTTTCCGGGCACGGTTGCTTCGGAAAGTACCTGTACTCGGTCGCTAGGAGGGAATCGAGTCCCGCCTGCCACCACTGCGACTGCAGTGAGGATTCGGCCCAGCACACGCTGGCGGTTTGCCCCGCATGGGCGACGCAGCGCCGGGCCCTTACTGCAGTCATCGGAGCAGATCTCTCGCTACCGGCCGTAATTCGCTCCATGGCCGGTAGCGACAGTTGTTTTACCGCGGTCGCAACCTTCTGCGAGGAGGTAATCTCGCAGAAGGAGGCGGCGGAGAAGGCCCGGGAGGACGACCTCCACTCGGACCTGATCCGCCGCCGGCGAACCGGGCGGCGGAGGCGCGCTTACCTGCGCCTCATGCCGCCCTGAGTGTGGCCGCGGGTGGACGGGATGGGTTCTCCCCTCCACCCGCATTAGTTGGCCAGCCGCGAGGGGGCGGCGTCCGCGTGTGCCGGACGTCGCCTAAAGAGAGGAAAGATCAGAGACGGGGCCCGCAACAGGAGCGGGCCGGCGCTGGGAGGGGTCCAGAAGGCGATAACTACCTGGACCCCTCCTACACTGGAAGCGCAAAGAGGGCACACCGTGTGGTTTTAGTCGGTTCGAGTCCGACACACCGCCCCGCCGAACGAGAGCCCCGGCGGGGTGACGGTCCGAGGGGATTTCCACACGTAAAAAAAAAAAAAAAAAAAGGGTAGGATTTCCTTCCTTTTGTAGTGCTGTGGTCCTGTCGTTGTCCTTACGATATCCACGGGATGAATAGGGGCGGTGACACTCTGTATTTTTTATCCGTCACCACAAGGAAAATATAAGACATGTGGATTATATATTTTTTTAATACTTATTATATATTTTATAGGTATTGTGTATATGTTGACTCGAATAATATCTTGTCAGACTTTTGTTCACATCGTGTCTCTGCACTTCATTCATGCAACTGCTTCATGTCGTTCTGAAGGCCAATTCTCGTAATAAAATTTCAGTCAAAATTCAGTTCCGGTTTACTCTCGATCTCACATAGGTCATAAAAGGTATTGTATTGTAATTACGTAGTTAAATTGTTCTATATTGTATTTTTTATTAACTCCTCTAATATACGATCAACTAATTGCGAAAATACCTTTTATAACTTATGAGATCGAGAGTAGATCAGACCTGAATTTTGACCGAATTTTCATATGTTTTCGTCCCTATGGTAAGGTAAATTTTTCTTCACTTCCAGTAAACAAAACTACGTCTCTCAAGAAAAAAGACTTCTTTCATGACGCATAGCAAATGTGTAGACTTCTCAAAAAACTAGCCCATACGATCGGAAATGTTCCGTGTGTTTGCGACAAATACCCCTGTTATGTGTCCCTTTGCATGTCAAAGAGCTCTCACAATTCATATGAATCCATCCTGTCTGACTGAAAGTGATACAATGTGCAAAATAGTTGTACTCAATCCACGATTGTTGTACCCCTTATATAAATAGTTTGAGCTAATTTTTTTTTATTCACTAGCTACTTTTGTTCGTGAAGCCGTTTTGTATTCAGCACAATAGAACCAACATCTTTTATTTCTTTACAAGCCTCTTGTATATTGTTTGTCCCTAATTTTTATATTAATCTCAGGAACTGGCCCGCAGTGCTACGCTTTGGTAAACCAAAAGTAAGGTAATTGGTAAGAAAAATTTAAACTTTGTTTGAGAAAATAAGTTCACATATCTTTAAAATAAAAATAGCTTTTATTTCTACTATACCTTATACTATTACAACTTATGCTTAAGATAACTATATACACTATTACAACGTTTACTTTAAGAAGGAATAAATATACTTGGGACAACTAGTAACATTTAAAAACAACAGAAGAAAAGAAATAGAAAGAAGGGTAGCTCTAGCCTGGAACAAATACTGAGGATTGAGGGAAGTAATGAAAAATAACGAAATCAATGTAAATATTAAGAAAAAACTTTACGAGATAACGATATTTCCTTGCCTAACGTATGTTTGTCAGAGGTGGTCTTGACAGAAGAAGACGAAGAAAGAATTACCATCTGTCACGGTAAGATGGAAAGAAGCATGCTCGGTCTAAAACTATCAGACAAGGTCTGCAATATCAGCATCAGAAAAAAAAAACTGAAATAGTGGATGTATATGTACATGGATCTGTTGGATGAATAATACCAGATGGGCAAAACGCCTAACAGAATGGATACCAAGAGACATGAAAAGAAAAAGAGAAAGACCAAGTAAAAGGTGGAATGAAATCTTTTACCAGAGATGAGAACCCCTATGGATGCCAGAGGCACAGGAACGTGATACGTGGAAAGGTTTAGGAGAGGCGAGTCAAAAAGGCGACTACTACTAGTAATAGTTAAAAATAATTTCAACTTTCAAATATCATTACCAATAAACAAAACCCATAGCATTGTATAGAAAATCTTATTATGGCTTTAAAGTTAATAAGTCAAAACAACACGAATTCATAGTTTAAATAAATTTATTTCCATTTAGTCGTATGTTTTCGATTTCAAGTTTTTAACGCAGACGCTTCTAAAGACATAAAAATTCACTTCTTTCTGCTCAAAGTAGCTACTCTAAAACGACGTTATGTAAATGGATGCTAAACTGTTTTTGTTAATATACCCTTTAACCCGATTCACACATCATTAAGAACTAATAACAAGTCACTCGACAAAACAATTTTAGCTTTTTAACCGTCACGGTACACCATCAATCATATAAACGCACGAGGGAAACGGTGTTTGAAAAACATGCCGCAAACGATTCATCACGGCGGGTAATTATCCTAACAGGCGTGTTTTAGTGCAAGACGTTTTGTGGTTCCGAATGGCGGACCGTAGACGCCTTTGAAGTCGACTCTGTTAATGGGATGTTCGATTTATTTAAATGATAAACTGCCTGCTTAGAGCCACCTCTATGCTAACACTGAAAGTTACTATAATATTCAGTAACTTTCAGTGTTTGGTAGTAAACTTGATTTTTCCCCTCCCCTCCAGGAGTCCCCCTGAAAATATGGACCACTTTCACTTTTTTTTTGACATTTGTTTTTTTTTATTATTTAGTACTGGTGAAGAATATTAATTCTTCACCAGTACTAAATAAGAGAGTGTAGAGTAGTTAGGAACGTAGTTATTACTTCAAGACCTAGATACTAAAAAATGTAGTTGGACAGCAATACTAGCTAAGTGCTAGCTTTTACTATTAATTAGGTTTACAAAAGGTCCAAGTGGAAAAAAGTCAATAAAATTGGCAAGGCACAAGTGACACAAGTACTTATCCCCAACGATGATCGCATACCATAACGTATGCTCCTACGAAATAAGCAACTAAAGCATCTACCTTTTCTGTTTCACACCCGTATCCACATATTTTTGTTGTACATACCTGAACTCACAGGGACTGGTGACACTACGGCTACTTTACGGCTGGTTTTCCCTCTCTTTCACACCTTAAGTTTAAAAAATGCTTATCGTTAATCAGTGTATTGTTAACTCCTGCTATTCTCCACATTGCCTTTACAATTGAACTCTCACATCACATCTCATGTAATAAAATGGTTGACCATTGACAATCCGAAAATGTCAATTAAGGAATGTCCTTGAAAGGTTTTCATGTATATATCATTTTATAGGAAATGAAAAATAAGTCTACAAGTCGATGTTTATCATAAGACATAGAATATAAGGTTTAATTTCCCTCTAACCTAGATTTGACATTATTTTTAGATACCTGTATTTTACCTTTGCATTCTAGATTACGTTTATAAGCAAAGAACAGCAATGCGGCTAATTCCAAAATAACTTTACTCTGAAAATTGTAGGCTTAAACGGACTTTAGACGTTCGTCGATTTACGTGACCACCTTAATTAGTTGGATAGACCTTCTTGCACCTGCGGAGAAAGGGGATTTACGGCTTAAAGAGGTCTGGAGTCTTAGAATATTTGGAGATCTTACAGCATTCTTGAGCATAAATGGTTTAATTCTCTTTCTTAAATTAAAAATACTAAAGAGCTCTTAGGTGAAACGCTATTTGTTTTTTTTATGTGGTCGAGTATGTTAAAATAAATGATTATAAAGAAATTATTCAGATTAATAAGTTTCCTAATTTGAATTTTAATGTCACGTAATGGATAGCTTATTGCCAATTAAAATTATCGATACTTTATTTTAGATATCTTATCTATTAAGTTTTTTACTAAAATAGTGACAACCAAAGGTTTTTTTTATAACAGAAAAAAATATCGCACAAGATTTCGTGTCAGAAACATTTATCAGTTTCGTACATTCAATATGGTTAGAAAACACATTATTAGCGTATATTGTGTCGCTGCACGATTCATCGACCATAACCTTTAGATTTCTCATCGCCAGTATAGGAGTTCTGAACCATCACGACTCAAACACAAAATTGGTTTATAGTAATAGAGGTTAAAGCATGAAATTGTCGTTTTATAGTACTAGGTACTTTGAATTGACGTAAAACCTTCATGGTGTGAGATTAGTGTGAAACTTTTTTCAAATGATACCTATGAGGTTCTTCTTTTGAAAAATGTGCAACTTTAGATTTTAGACTTACAATTGTTTTTTTAATTCATCTTAGACGTGAAAGATGGATACTTCGAAAATCCGAGTCATTTTTGAACACGAGTTCCAACGAGGAACAAACGCGACAGAAACGGCTCGCAATACTAACGCTGCGTTTGGAGAGGAGACTGCTAATGAACGTACGTAAGAAATGAAATATTATTAGATCAAATAGTGACATGTGACGAAAAACGAACTGTAAGCGAAAAATGCAATGGCTGACCGTAGTTCAAGCGCCGTAACAATGAACTACGAGTAAAGCAAAGCTTACCAATAAAAAGTAATGGTAACTGTTTGGTGGTCTCTTTATTGTATTATTCAATATAGCTTACTCAAGTCTGGTCAGATAACAGAACAGAGAACAGAAACAGCCCCGACTCGTGAATTGATCTTAACCATTATTGCTCAATGAAAACGCAAGACCTCACACTGCACGAAAAACCGTTGTAACTCCACAGGAGCTGCAGTTAGAAACCGTATGTCATCCTCCGTACTCGCCAGACCTTGCTCAAACGGGCTACCATTTTTTCGTAATTTGGACAATTTTGAAATTGTTTCTTCCCAGGAGGCAGTACAAAATGCTTTCACACAGTTTGTTGAATCTAAATCCCCAGATCTATTCTATCGTAAAGGCATAAATGAACTTCCGTTTAATGGCGGCAATGTACAGATAATGAGGGGTATAATTTTGATAAAATTAATATGTTACATCTTAGAAAAAAAAAACAGTTTCAATTTTTTAGTACAAATCGGCAATTTCATACTTGAACCCCTATTATT